GGCATGCCGTGTCCTAATATACTTGAATAAAAACATCACAACTCCCAAGATAGGGACTTTAACTTAAAAAAAAAAAATAAAATAAAATATAATACAGCAGTGCAAAATATATAATTATACTATTAAACGTGATTGGTCATTACAGTTGATGTTAATGCTGGTAAAAATTGTCACATGATTTGACTAGCTTTAAAACCATTTTGTAACTTACATATGGACCGGGTAAGTTAAGGTGTAAATTACGTGTAAATTACATGTTTTAGCAACCTTACATGTAATTTCTCTTAGCATCTTGCGTATAAAAATTATAAACTATTTTGCTAATTTCTAGAATTTAACTTTTTCTACGAATTTTTGCGTTCTAAATATCTTCAAAAAAAATGTGGTTCATGTTTCGTAACTAGCTTTGGTATAGAGTGGCCTTATTGGCTTAGAACTAATAAATATTGTGCTTAACTAGTCGAACTGTATTTTGGCTAAAAGAAAGTTTTATTAAGCGAAAACATGACCGATTTTACGGGTCATGTAGGTAGCGCCATCTGCAACAATTGTTGCAAACGAATCAATATTGGATTCATAGTGCTATCGTTATAAATTTTTGAAATATCGAACATTGGTGGCGCCACCTACATGACCCATAAAATCGGTAGCCACCCTGGTCGTGTTAGAGTATATCGATATCATCATACCGTAAAATTACTTTGACCCTTAATTGTAAAAGTTTTTAAAATTTGGACCCTTATACTGTATATAATTAGGGCCCTTATATGTAATTATTTTCATTTTTTGCCCCTATATGTAATTTTCCCTAAATTTTATATACTTCAATGGCTATATGAACTTAAAAAAAAATTAGATATAATTTTTTTTTCATTTTTTATTTTAAATTAGACAAAAAAATTTTTTAATTGAATTCGACTTTTTAAAAAAAAAAGATTATACGTATGGTTTATTTATTTTAATTAATCGAATAACGCATGCAGAATTTGGGGCAGAAAATGAGGAGCCCTAATTTCGTCCAATCAAATAGAGAAATGCGATCTAGACAATTTGTATTACTTGTAAAATCTCTGATACCGATAAAGATAGAAACTTAACATTAAGGAGAACTGGTAAACGCATTTTGTACACTGTATATCTCTTGTTGTTTTAAAGCTCTTAAATTACTATCGATTATGGTGAGTAAAAGTCTCTTTAATTTCTTGTTTTGCTTTGCTCTACAAAACCTGTGACATGACCCTTTCGACCAATTCATAAGGTAAATTACGTGCTTTTTGAAACAGCCTTTGGTTACGCCCTATTCGAATGTCTGCAAAATGAGGAGATCGGATATAAACTTGCAAATGTTCAAAAGGCTGTTCAAGATTTGGTAAAATTTGGAAAAGCGGTAAAGCTCAAGTCATTTGTTCCTTTTAAAAATGCTGCCCACGCTTTGGAGAATGCGAATGATATATCTGAAGGTTAGAGATTGAGTCTTTTAGATTTCATTACTGGATTCAATTATTAGATTTATGCTCCTTATAAAAAATGTAGGGGTCTTAAATGACCATCTCAAAAATTTCTTGGAGATGAATCTTCCAAGGCCTGGAAAAAAGAAAAATCCTATACTTGGTGTTGTAGACAAAAATTTGGCGAGTTCTGTCAAAGCTGAACTGGGATTCGATTGCGAGACTAGCGAGATTGTGTTGGAAATTGTTCGCGGTATCAGATTACATTCTGATAAGCTGTTAAATCAAGTGAAAGAAGGTGAACTTGTTAAGGCGCAGCTTGGATTAGGTCATAGCTATTCTAGGGCAAAGGTTAAATTCAATGTTAATCGTGCTGACAATATGATAATCCAAGCCATATCCTTGTTAGATCAATTAGATAAAGATATTAATACATTTGCCATGAGAGTTAGGTAAACTGGTGTTTTTATTAGTTTATGCTTTTTTTATTATCTTCTGCTACGAAATCATTCTCATCATGTATATTAAATGTATTGTGCTTTATCAATTATTCCATTTCAGAGAATGGTATTCATGGCATTTTCCAGAACTTGTAAAGATCATTAACGATAATCACATATATTCTGTTCTCGCCAAATTCATTCGAAACAAAACCGATTTAACTGAAGATCATTTAGATGCTCTTGTAGAAATAACTGGTGATAAATCGAAGGCGAAACAAATTATTGATGCAGCTCGTGTATCGATGGGCACTGATATCTCCGAATTGGATATGATCAATATCGAGCACTTCGCTGATCGTGTAATCAATCTTGCTGATTATCGTAAAAATTTACATGAATATTTGTTATATAAAATGAATAATGTGGCACCAAATTTATCAGCATTAATTGGCGAAGTTGTTGGTGCCAGGTTGATTTCTCACGCTGGGAGCTTGGCGAATCTCTCAAAATATCCTGCTTCCACCGTTCAAATTTTGGGAGCTGAGAAGGCTTTATTTAGGTGTACAGAGCCTTCAAATATGAAATCAATAATTAGACCCGTTGGAAAATAAAATTTATATATTATTTAATGCATTTTAACAATGTAGAGCTCTTAAAACGAAAGGAAACACTCCGAAGTATGGTCTTCTATATCACTCCTCTTTTATTGGACGTGCAGGTGTTAAAAACAAAGGCAGGATCTCTCGATTCTTGGCCAATAAGTGTACAATTGCATCTCGAATAGATTGCTTTACTGGTAGAAACATTTATTTCAGCTTTGTACCTTTCCTATATAAACGTTAATATTCAATGTATTGACATTGATGGTCAAAATTTAATAGATAAACCTACTTCAAAATTTGGTGAAGCTCTTAAAAATCAAGTTGAGGAAAGACTAAAGTTTTATGAATCTGGAACTGCCGTTACAAAAAATGCTGATGTCATTAAAAAAGTAATCGAAGAGCTTGAAAAAGATGATGAGGAAATGGACGTTGATAAAGGTAATTTTCTATTTACAACATTTAATCATGCAATTTTGCATAATGTTTTAATATAATTACTATTGTATAATTAGTTCAATCTGCAGCTTCAGTGAAACGTAAAGCTTCAGAGATAACGGGTGAAGAAGTTTCTCCTCCTAAAAAACATAAGAAATCAAAAACGCAAGTAGATAACGATGACAAATCAAAGGACAAAGATGAGGAAACTGTTGAAGAATCTTCCAAGCCCAAAAAAAAGAAAAAGGATAAAAAGAAAGCTACAAAAGATATTAAGAAAAAAGACAAAAGTTGAAGTTATTGATGTAATTATAAATGCAAAGATTTTTCGTATATTTACTTTTATAAAAATAAATAATATTTTTCTTTTGTTGAAATTGCTGTAGTTTGATAAACACATTACACTGAAATAACTTTTGTTTACCGAACAGAAAACCTTTTTGGTAGTAAGCTGTATAGATAACATATGCTTATACAAGAAGCATACACATTGTAACCTTTGCTTTACTATTTTTTTCAATTTGTATTTAATTATTAAGTACAGATTTATAATTTTGACAAATATAAAGATACTTACTGGTTTTAGTAGAATTATAATATAAATAGTAAATAAAATGTATATATGGTTTGATATATATTTTTTGATAATTATTTGAATAAAGTTCAAAGTAGAAGATTATTTTTGTTTTTATATAAAATAGATTGTTATTAATAAAAGTTAACAATAAAAATATTAAAAAATAGTTATATGAGATGTCTTGTATTAAAAAAGGTCTATTTAAACAATTTTTCAAAATTTTTTTTTATTTGATTTTTGAATAGAAATATTTTTAATAAAGAGTTTTTATTAATACCAAAAAAAAAATAAAAAAAAAATAAAGAGTTTTTATAAGTAACAAAAAATTAATTATATAATAAAAAAATTCACAAACCAATTGTTTTTTTTTGCTTTTGTTAAGACTAATGTTAATAGTAATTATTACTTTTTTTTTAAATATTAACGGTGATAGTAATTATTACTTTTATTATGTTTTTAATTATATATTATATATAACTTGTACAAAGTAAGTATGCAATTAGCCACATATGCAACTTTTGATTATCTATTTAAGTAGTCTATTACAGGTTTGTTTTTTTTTAGTGTTAAGGTGACCTCTTTGGTCTTTTGACTTTTATTAATGACTTTTTTGATAATATAATTTAGTAAACCACTACAGAAAAGTGTACAATTGGTTACATATATAACTTTTTTATATTACTTATTTAAAGAGTTTACCTAAAGGTTTTTTACCAATTTTCATATCTAATATTTCTGCTTGAATGTTTTACTTTAAATCCTTTAAACCTGCAATCTGTATTAACATTACTGGGTCAAGCTCAAATTATTATCTTAATCTTAGGATTAATTTATCTTTAAGATAAACTTCTTAGAATCTTTTGTATCTATTTTTATAACTGATCTGATATTATTATAGCAGAACCAACACTTGTGATTAGAATTATATTATTTAACCATTATGCTTTTGTAGAGTTCACATAGATCTCAGTATCTACTTTACAGTATAACTCCAATACTTTAGTATACATCTGCCTTTTGTTTAGCCTTTTGTTCAGACTTTTAATCTAAATAGCTTATGTAAGATTACAACTAGTTTATTAATATATTGAATTAGCCTAATATTCTTTTTCTTTAGTTTATTCTGATGACCTAGTTGATAGTACTTTTGAGACTTTTAATTTAGAGGTTCTTGTTTATTCAAATATTATAACCAGGTACTATGATCTTGGTATCCATTTTTTTAGACTAATCTTTATAGTAATACTATTAAAGATTTAGCTACCTTTCTACTTAAGTCTTTCTAAATAGATTTCTATTACCTAATTTTAACAAATTTATATAGCTACAAGAACTTATTTAGTATTTGTACTATCTAATTTGTTAGTTTGCATTTCTTTATATAACTAGTTATACAAATATCCTATAATCTGTCAGTTATATTAATGCAATTGTTATTAAAAGTATTCTAATCTAATCATTAGTAATAGTTGCTATAATATGAATATTATATAGATGATTATCTAAATTTTTACTATTGATGAAATTTGAATATTTAACTTATTACTTAGAAGTTAATAACCTAATCACTTTATTAGATTATTACACTCTTATTACAAATTCTATATTAACTGTTATATCTGTAATCTATTAGAAGAACCTATTTAAACATTTTGATCTCTATATTATATTATATAAATAGTGCTTAGCTTCTATATATCTAATATAACATTTAGTTTATTTTTTTAAATATTTATCAAGTTATTATTTATTTTGAAATATGTTATTTGATTATAAGCCTTAGTACATCTCTTTGTTAACTAACTTACTTTATAAACTAGTAATAGAGTTATACTCTTATAAAGCTTATTTAAATTCTAATATCAACTTTATAATATATTTTTAGTATTTTAATATATTTCTGTTTTGTTTTTAAATTTCTAATTCAGATAGCTTAGTAGAACTATAATCTGTTTTTAATATATTAAACTTGGTTTAATATTTTTTTTTCTTAATTTTAAATTTTAATAATCTGATTAATAGTATTTTTTATTTAGAAGTTCTTGTTTGTCTAATTCTTTTATATTGATATTTATTTTTTAAATCTAGTTTTTATAGTATTACAAAGTTGCAGTCTTCTTAGTATAATACAACTAAGTAATAAAATTACTTAATATAGTAATTAACTATTGCAAATATATACAAAATGAAGATGTAATAGTTTATTTTACTATATAGCAACAAGCAAACAAGTTAAGATAGTAATAGTATATAGATTAAACTTTATTAAACAAATATACAGTAACAACCTTGCTTGTAAGAATTATTTTAGAAAGTAAATATTACTTTTACAAATTAAAAATAAAAGTAAGAGGATCTAGATTGAAATATAAGAACTTAGAATTAATAAAGAAAAAAAAAAAAAACTTTATATATATATTTTTACCTAGTGAGAATAGTAGAAATTTAAAGAATATTACTTGATACTGTATTTAGAATAATGAAAGTTCAAATAATATTAGATATCATTATGCTTGAAATAATAGTAATTCAAATAATATAAAATGATACTGTACTTAAGATAATAGAGATTGTATAGAAACAACTAAAAATATTATTTATATTATTTGTTATTTATTTTTAAAACACTTGGAACTTGTGTTTAAATATTTAAATTCATACAAAATACTTAGAATTTGTGTAGAAATACTTAAAGTTTATGTAAGAATACTTAGAATTCATGTCAGAAATACTTGAAATTCTTGTACTATATTACTTAATACAGTAATTTGATACTAGAATACATGAATTTAATGTTCTTATGAACCTGAACTAAACTGAATTTTAATCAAGTTCAGGTTTAAGTTCAGTTCAGATTTAGTATTAAACTTTTAATTCAAGTTTAGGTTTAGTTTAAGTTCATAAATTTTAAGTTCAGTTTAGATTTAGGTTCAATGATCTGCAAGATTTGAAGTTTAGTTCAAATTTAGATTCAATGATTTGCAAATTTTGAAGTTTAGTTCAGATTCAATAAATTTGGTTTATAATCTAAACTAAATTGAACTGAACTTAAAAATACTAATTTTAGATTATTTTTATCAAAAAATTTAAAATTAAGTATTTTTTATTTAAATTTTAAAAAATATAAAATAAATATATACCAATATAATGTATTTTTATATATAGAACAAAGTTATTTAAAGAATAAAGATAGAATTAATTAGTAAAATTTTGAGAATAATAATAATTTTTATAATTTTATTAATAAAATTATAAAAATTGGTATAATTCTTAAAATTTTACTAATTAATCTTATTTTTGTTCTTTAAGTAACTTTGTTCTATATATAAAACTATATTATATTAATATATATTTATTTTATAATTTTTAGTTTTAAAGAAAAAATGCTTAATTTTGAATTTTTGATAAAGAAATCTAAAATTAAGTATCTTTTCTTTAAATTTAAAAAATATAAAGTAAATATAGTTATCTCTCTCTATAGTTACCTCCTCTATAGTCACAACCTCAATATAATCATTTTTTTATTTTACTAATCTTTTTATATTATTTATACTTCTATATAAACACAATCACCTTATAATCACTATCATATTTTTTTATTAACTAATTATAGAACATTTATATAAAATAGCTCTCTATAAAATCACATTATAAATATAACAAATTAGATAAACTTTATTTTATTTTACCTTTTATTATTATTTTATTTCTTAGCATAATAGTTCAAATACCTTTTTAATTTTTGTAGATCAGCCAGATCTAGCACCAGTATTTGTATATATATATGTACTTACATAATGGTTAGAAACTATAACTGATAACTTATCATAACTATTTTTGGTTTTATAAATTGATCAGCATATATACACTTATATGTAATAAAACTTTTAAGGTACTATAACTGATCACATTGTTAAACCTGTTTAATTTCTAAAGTTATGCAAAATTAGTAACTAAATTGTTAATATTTAGGTCTTGTCTTATATTCTTATTTAAGTATAGCAAAATAAATATAATGTTATTAAAACAAATGTTTTTTATTTGAGTATACTTTTATTACTACATAGTAATTAACATTTAAATTAGTTTTTTTTATTATTTAAGATTCAAACTGTATTCTTTATTTCTAATAAAGCATTACCTTTATTTATAATTTGATAACCAGAACTATAATACTAACTTTTATTAATCACATTCGAATTTTCTAGCTCTGCTACTCTTAAATAATATTCAAAGACTTTTTGTCTTTTTTAATACCAATACTATGTTGATAATTGTAACCAAGTTGACAAGTTATTGATTTTATTCTTTTTTTTATTTTAAATTAAAGACTGAATTGATAGAAAAACATTTGGCAGATGCACTTTGCAAGTACATCATACAATATTGTATTCAGATAAGACTAAAATTTATAACAAATATTTTGTATATAAATTTTCAAAGTTCATTTTTTTTAAGAAAAAAAAAATTTTATGTACTAAATAATCAATTAATTTTTTTGAAAATATCGCACCAAATAAAAAAAAAAAAGAATTAAATTTAAAATATAATGAACATAATATTACAGTACTAGGATTATTAAAAAAAAGATAAAATTAAGATTTGTTTTTTAGATTTATCTTTTTCATATTGTCATTCTTTAAATTTTTTTTATAATATAATTAACCTATTTTTATCGAATCCTTTTCTAACATTAAGACCCTCTTGGTACCTTATAA